ATATATATATATATATATATATATATATATATGATTAATTTTATTAAAAGTTGATGCCCACATTTCAGATTCAACATTGGCTTATAAAGAAATACAGCATATTACCTTTATCAAAGGAATTGTTTCACATTTTACCTATCAAAATATAAGCTTTAGACTTACCTCAACGACGGTTTGTAGGATCCGTTTACTTCCAGATATATTCCAGATTCGTTGATATCATTTTCGGGATCGTCTCCTTCTCCATAACATTCATATCGTTCCTCTCCGTCACTGAAACTGAAAGTAGGACTAAAAACAAAATAACAAATAATAAATTATTGTGCTTTATAACACGCATACCTTCTAGTAAAATAGGACAAACAATATACATGTTCAAATTAAAAACTTTACAAAACAAAAAAAGATGTAGTGAGCATCTGACAGGAATTTAGAAACTGCTAAGCTTCGGTTAAGCTCATGTATAACCAACAAAAGCCATAATACTCGTATCGAGTAAAACAAAACATTCAGTAACATAACACCCATCCCATCTAGTCAAAGTGGAAAAAGTCGTGATTTAAGCCCCAACGACCCAAGGCACGTTTGATGAGCGGAGGTTCTTGTTTGAATGTTATCATTCTTGTCGTTACAATATAACCGAGTTCTAATATTTATCTAAATATATATTTTACTTCTTGAGATGTAGGGGTCGCATACGTTATAAAAGATATTGTTTGCGACCACAATAATTTCTTCCCGTTACTGATCTCTTGTGTTAACTGTTCAAAAATAACGTTGTATATATAGCAATCGTGTCAGTCAGGTTGTGTGCTTCCTTAAATTAATGTTGGTATATTATTTCTAAATATATGTTTTATTTTATGATTTATAGAAGTACAGGTTGTGAAACATAGAATACTAAGATTAGAAAATAAATGATAGAGCTTAGTAATATTGAAATTGAAATCATTATTTCACCTCAATACGATTGAAACTACTTAAAGAATAAACACCTGCTTCTTTTATCTTCAAAACCCAAGAGATCGGCCAGTGATGTCGCTAGACGGTGCTACAGTGCTGTTTGTATCAGTAACCAGCGCAGAGTTTGACGCTGGAGTTAGCTCATCTTGTGACATGACACAGTCATTGGTTGCAGGCAGTAAAGTCGCTTGGACGGAATTCTAAAGAAATATACAAGTAAAACGTAAAGAACATGTCATTATCAGCTCTAAATAAAACTGATAATTTTAATATTAATAATAAACGACCTTATAACACCTAATTTGTTATTCCTCTTCAACTGGACACCCAGCGTTTCGTTTTACAGCTTCTTCAAAAGTGTTCCACTAAAACGCTCTTGAAGAAGCTGTAAAGCGAAACATTGAGTGTCCAGTTGAAGATAAATAACAAATCTGATGCTATAAATTCGTTTATTACTAGTATCAAAATGTCTTTTATACACAAATATGCATTACAGAAATTAAATAAAACTGATAACTTTATGTTATTTTTAAACAAAGTTTTATGATGTATGTTTTCGATATTGTAAAATGCAACGTCAGTGATATAATTTATATTAAACATTCCAAGATGTATTCATGCAGGTTCAAATACAACCAGGCATACTAAGTTTGAAAAGATAAAGCTATAAATTCAGTTCCACACTATTACATCAAACACAGTAGACGTGAAGCAGTACGTAGAGTATAATACAGCGGAAGTAAAACTACAAAATCTAACCATGACTTACACTATGCGTAACTCGATGAGGCAGCTAATAAACTAGGCTTGCGTAGGCCTAACAATAACAAACGGACATAAATAAACCGTACACATTTCACCTTACAATTATCGATGTGTGTACATCGACCTGTTCGTACTGGTGTTCACCATTAATTGTTGTTCTTAAGTTAATATAAATTCTTTAAGCTATCTAATCTGTCATAGTAATTGAATATAGCTTTCTTACTTGTGTCAACGCAACTTAAGGAATATAAAAAACGACAAAACAAAACACATAACAAACAAATCTGTGATAACCTATTTAAAATATTATCTAAGCTTAAACAAACGCTGTTTGACATCTATATTTGGATATTCTTCAAGCGTTTTGCGGCCACATTGGCAGGATTTCCTTATGTATTGAATTGTTGCAGGTGTTACGGAGGAGGCAGTGTTCACCACCTTCTGGTTAAACTGGTTCAATGGTGGGAGTGTTTCAGTAGAAAAAAATGATCAAAGAAGTGGACACAGGATGTAAAACCTGTTTCTATTTTATGAAATTATTCTACTTGTTGTATGGCCAAATAATTTAATACATTAGCAGTACAAAATTAGACTTATACTTCAAAATTATATCTTACTAGTTACTGAGCAAAATACTTTAAGCCTAGTAGTGGCTGTACGTTCCTACTAAAGTTTAATTATTTACATTCATCCAGACAAAAGACGGAATTGTTTTGTTTTAAAACAATATCAGAATTTGTCATTATACACTTAAAAGCAATCATGCACACACGGATACAATAAACAAGCTAATTCATTTCAACAAATTTGAACAATAAGGAAATCATAGTTTACCATTTTCTCCTTCAAACAGTGTAACTTATTTGATTTTTCACAGATTGATATTGTAGAAAAATAAAATGTTAACTTATGAGTTAAATATTTAAATTTGAATTTCACTGTTGTACTGGCTTCGCAACATCAAATTGTTTTTCTGAAATAGTAATATTAAACACTACTTTTCGACCAATCTTTCTGCAATTAGGGCCCGGCATGGCCAGGTGGTTAGGGCGCTTGACTCCCAATCTAAGGGTTCGAATCCCCATCCCACCAAACATGCTCGTCCTTTCAGCCGTAAGGGGGGGGGGTATAATGTACGGTCAATCCCACTATTCGTTGGTAAAAGAGTAGCCCAATAGTTGGCGGTGGGTGATGTCGACTAGCTGCTTTCCCACTAGTCTTTCACTGCTAAATCGTACAGCTTTGCGCGAAATTAAAAAAACGAAAAAAACACAAAGCTATACAATGGGCTATCTGTGCTGTGCCCACCACGGACATCAAAACCCGGTTTCTAGCGTTCTAAGACTAACTGCTGAGCTATCGGGGGGGGGGGCAAAATAACAAGGAATAATGTGAAAGTATTTAATATGAAACAATATGTTAAAGAGCTGAGACGTTTCTCTATCACAGGAAACCAGAACAGATGTTCAGAAACTACTTAAGGATGTCATAGAAGTCGAAACAGAATAAAATATTTTTACTATAGATAAAACTGTTTCAGTTTTAGATTTAAACGGTAAAATCACAAATAATAAACAATGGAACTATGACGTGATAATATCTGGAAATTGTTTTATACATCGAAAGAAAAAAGTAATGTTTCGGTTAACAAACCGACATTAGTCATATCTGCATCTTTCTACGGTAGTCCCCGGTGGGTCAGCGGTAAGTTTACAGACTTACAACGCAAAAATCCGAGGTGCACACAGTAGATAGCGCAATGTGGCTTTGCTCTAAAAACAAATGCCCCAATCCTAAAGTCAATGAATCAAACTATGTGATATTTAGAGTTGAATTGCAATACCTTTTTTTATCTTTTCAGAACTGAAGATGTGGACACATCAATGGTGCTCATTTAAACATTTGTTGTCCACGGATTCCCAGCCTTATCAGCCATCAGTAATATATCGATACATTTGATATGTAACTTCGATCACAAGCGTTTCTTTGAAAGGCAAAAACGTGCCTGAGACATCTATCGGTCTTTTTTGCTTTTACATAAAGACATGTGCAATGAAAACGTGATCCCCAAGACATTAGTTGGTAACTCTACTTAACCTATGCGAAACACGATTATAGTCTTTCCAGTACAATATTTTAATCTACAATAAATAACAACGGCCAGTTGTGAAAATTTTATCGCAAGTGAAAAAGAATCAAATTTTTATATGTTACACTAAATATAAATGTTCAAGAAATATTTCCATACGATTGTATGGTGAACGTTCTGAATGAAATGGCCTAAGCCCTAAAGGATTAATTGAGGAATGGCACTGACAGTGACTACAAGAATATATAATGGTGGTATTGTCCCATTTACCAAACTGAAGTAACACACCCATGAAAAATCTGGATGACTAATCAGCCTTAAGACATACTCAAAATAAGTGTGCATTCCCACATTATGTTTATTTTTTCTCGTTATTAAACATTATAATTTTCCTACCTTTCATGCTTCGAATTCTGTTATTATTTCTATACTCTTTTACATAATAATCTAAAACACCAATAAAAATTACCATCCTATATGAAAACACAAGGTTTTTAAGTTTCTATTAATTAAAAACTTGCCCACCAGTCGCTGAACGAGCAGTAATGGACTGACACACATTCTGAGAACAAGGAAACACGCAGACAGTTTTGTGGACTGAACGACAACCATATAGGAATAGGGACAAAGAAACCGAATATTTATGGGTGGTCACACAAACTTTCTGAACAGAGGAACACGTAGAATGACTTATGGACAGAACAACAACGATATGAAAATGGGAGCAGACTGAATAACCGCCGGATGGACAAACTTGTGGATAAAAGGATCAAAATATGTAATATAACATGAACGAGAGGAAGCTAGCATTTTCTGATGTACAGGGTTATTCAGAACACCTTTGATAGGTAAATATTTCATAAATGTAAAGGTATAGGATATTTTATTAATATATATCATACATCCAAAATGTCAATAGCAAAGGCTTAGACAAGAACAGTCAAAACATTTTAAATCAGAAATTACCAGAATTATTTCTCAATAACAACAGTTGTACGCTTAAACGTACCACTTCCATGCATATTGAATTGTACTATAGAAGAACCTAAATCCAACCATAGCAAAGGTCGTTACACAAAAGGTGCGAATTTTGTATAAACAGGTCATTAAACCCTTAAAGGGTTTAAAAGATTAAAAAGAATTGAGATAAAAAGTCCCTACATAAGGTAGCATACAAGCCTTGCGCTGCATCTTCTCCCAAATAATCTAAATAATGACACATTTTCAGTTGAAGAACAGTTAACATGGCCCTACTGTGAGGAGAGTGTCGCCAGAAGCCCGTGTTGCTGCCAGATTCTATCCCGAAGAGTTTCTAAATGAACGTCATCTTTCACATCAGATGATAAAAGCTATGTGTGTCAGCGGCTGTGTACTACAGACTAATTTACGTATAAGCGCTGTGCGGGTAGACCAATAACAGAAAGCAATACTGTTAGTATTTGTCACATTTGGTCAGCATTTTGAACACTGTTAGGATTTTTACCACATCTACTTTTATGCCTATAACTGTTGTTGGTGTGGAGCGACTTTGGTAGTATTTGCTTTAAAATGTTTCATTTTGTATGTGTTACACCTTTTCAAGTGATATTTTTTGGTGAATGATGAATATTAATCAAAGTTTCGAAGGATAAGACCTGTAAGCTGACCTTGGAATACTACAATGATATTGTCACAGGTACTCTTGCAACAATTAATTCTATAGCATTAACATTTATCCTCCTATAACCCATCATTTTTGAATAATTTGCTTGTCAATGAGCTTCTGAATCATCCCGTATACAGGGCTAACATTAAGTTTTGTTGTAATATTTATCTTGGAATTAGTTTAAAGGGGCCCAAGCGTAGCCCAGTGGTTAGTGTGTCTGACTATAGATCTTTGGTCTCGCGTTCGTGTCCCATGTCCCGTTACGGCGAGAAAAAAGAGAGAAAGAAAAAGGCTCTATACTTTAGGGTTGTGGGTTGTTACAAGGGTGCAGTCAAATACCACTGTCCGATTAAACAAGAGTTGACGATGAGAGCTATTGACTAACTGCCTCCACTCTAGTTCAGCGGTTCTCATTTTGTTGTCTTCGCACCACTGGTCGTCAATGGAAAGGTTGCATAATTGATAGTAATGAAGCGGAAGTACAGTGTATAGGTCCACCTGTGGTTCGGAGCAAAAAACGTTTGAGAACCAGTCTAGTCTATCAATTCAAAATTAGTAACAGCTAGCGCAACTAGCACAAATAAACACAACAGTTTAAAGGGAATACATGAGTACAAGAGTAAACAGCAGTTTAACTAATATGTATTTTTGTTTTCTACGTGAATTTAAACAAATAAATATTTGTCTTTTATTTTTCATCA